TTAGTTTTGTCATATTTTGGCCAAATATTGTTGAATGAGAGAGATAATATAAACGTGGGTTTCAGAATGAAGAAAAATAGCTGTGCTGCAATAGCAATTTACAATTCAGCTGAATGGTGTAAAGGCCTCAAAATGCCACTTATTAACGAGAAGCAGAAGGACATGAAAATACAGCAAATTTTTAGAACCAAACCAGGTTATTGAGCGAAACTAAACCTTAAAGAAGACCTGCTTGACTCTAGGGCTGGGCGATATGGAGCAAAAAACATATCTCGATATATTTTGCTATATCTTGATATGCAATATATATCTGTCTGTACAGGAAAAATAACCCCCAAAACTACTGCAAAAACAAATATGCCAATTTATATAAGGTCTTTCTTTATTGAAGTGCAAAGAGGCAGTTCATGTAAGTTTCATTAACTCTTAACTGTTAACCATACAACCATGAGCTCCTTTAGCAGAGGAAGCTCAGGAGGTTCTTTATTTTGACAGATCCATGTTCCTCACCAGAGGTAAGGAGCTCTGAGGTTTCCCACAATCCACTGCGCAGATCAAACCCAACGTTTCCAAACATTGTTGTACAAGTACTACACTGCGGCAGATTATTGATTCAAATCTTCTGCTTAAATAAACTTTACATTTCTAAACTTCACAGCAGTGTTTTCCAAACGTTTTGTTTGGGGACCCATATTTTAAAAGTCACAAACCAAAAAAGCGACGCAAGTCAATAGACATTATTCATAAATCACAAAATAAAGGTAGATTTGACCATTATTGAACATTAATGAGGATATTTTATTGTTGAGTGATCGTGTCTCTCTGAACAATTAGTATTACTCAAGTTTTAAACAATGTTTAAGTCAACCATAAGTCACTTATTGGGACATTGAATATAGAACGTTTCTTTTTCTTTTCAACGTTCAATTGAAACAGCAATATTGGAAAAAAATAGTCAATAAAATAATTACAAAAAGATTAGAAATTATACAAAACATGTCTTAACATTTCAACCTACATGCAGATCGTGATAAGGCAACCCCCAAAAAATCTCTTGCAACCCACCTGAGGGTTGCGACCAAGTCTTTGGGAAACAATGCTTTACAACATATAAACCATAACTACTATAGAGCCATGTCAGTCCGTTTGAGATTATAATGTGTTTAATGCAGCTTTGCTCACATTTATTTACATTTTACTGAAACAAAACTTAAAACCACATGACTCCTTTGCATAAACTGTAAGCGGACAGGGCCACGGGGAGTGAGCACAGAGAAGGCAAATTATTGAAGCTGCGAAATCAGAATTAAATACAAGCATTATATCGATATATACGATACATCAGAATCCATTTCATGTTTAAAAAATATCTCGATATATTTAAAATATCAAAATATTTCCCACCGTTCTTGACTTTGCTATACAGTTATCGCGATATTGATCAGCAGTAAACGTCATCACATCAAAGAGTCTGGACCTCCAATGGATTAGCTGCAGATCGAGCACTGGTTTTGTTTACTCTACATTTGTCTACTTTTTACAGACCTCACTGTTGATTTTATCCAGAAAGAGACCAAGTTCAAAAGTAAAAATGCTTCAAATCAGCACACTCAAACACTCAAAATGTCATTTATTCTTGTAGATTTTCTTCACAGATCACCTTTTAGTAGTACTTATGTGAAACAAAACGCAACTCCAGGTATGTTTTTAATGAGGTAACAACATTATAATATAACTTAAACCTCACAAGAGTTAATTCGGTGTAATATAAGACCTTTAATGCCATACTGTGGAATTCAAGCAAGGCAATAGCATCTCCATGGAGGCGAGCAGGTTTAAACAAATGCTGATGCTGTATTTTAACCCAACCACAACAATAGGACGTCTCGTTTTTCAAGCAGTTCTAAAAATAGCTTTTCTTATAACCTTAGCCCATATTGTAGTGCATATACAGTCGATGCATGGCTGGTTGTATCGCGCGCGCAGAGGGAAAAGACAGGGGGCGCTACAGTTCACGGCCCCCGAGAGCGCAGTCGGAAAGCAGCAATCCATCACCGGCTAAATCCCCTCTCTCCGCGGACCTGCGTGTGCCGCCGGCCACAGCGCTAATGTAAAACGGCGCGCTCAGTTTGGATAAAAACACAAAAACATGGCGCCCCTAAAGAATACAGAGGTCAATGTTGTGTCTTTGTGGTACGTTTGAATCGTGTAAAATAACACTGAATGAGGTGGAACTGGAAACATAGGAGTTAATATGGTAGGCTGGGGTTGCAATTCCCAAATTTGTAACCAAGCAACCCAAAGACTGCAGTACTTTTTAACTTTTACTGTACTTCTGTGTTAAAGTACTTATATTAAACTATTTTCTGATCTGTTATAATGTTGTTTCCTCATCGCAACCAGACCAGGATTTGTGTTTTGCTTCATTCTCAGTTCTTCTCTGAATCTGAAAACTCTCTGCTCCACCTTGTGATGTCATGTGATAATACAGGAAGTGCTCTACTGTGTTTTCAAACTCCATACACCTTCACTAGAATCATTTGGATGATTTCAAACCTGGAGCTGCCGATCTCTACTGAACTAAACTGCCATACAAAGGCAAAAAAAAAAAAAAAAACTTAACTCACCAGAGTGTGAAACTGAGAAAAATGATTTCAAAGTTTCTGTTTTGTCCAGACAAAAGTATAATAGGTAGAGCTCCCAAAATTTGACAGCTAGTTGCTATAATGAATTGTATGCGAAAAATATTGAGTTCAAAATTGATGTTTGACCCTTATTTGTCAGTGCCTTTTTATCATGAGCCAAAAATAAGGAGTCGTGCAAAGACAAAAGGCACAAACTGAGTTGATCATTATTTGCTTGATTTTCCCCAGACTTGCATCCATTTTAAGAAAAACACATCACCAAGAATCATGTGACGACACTTACACAGTGAAACAGTTTGACAGACAAGTTACTTTGCAGTTTAATATGTGCAGTACGAATAAATAACAAAAAATATGTTCACATTAAAGATAATTTAAGTATAATTGAATACAAACGTGTATTTATTTAATGTGTTAAGACCCTGTGCCAAGGCTGCAACAAAAAGAAGGAGGCGAGAGGTTGGATTTTAAAATAAACAAGAACAATCAGAGATAGCAACCTGCCCCCCACCGATGCCTCATGGGGGGCATGAGGCATCGGTGGGGGCAGTTCATCACCACAGAAGCAGCTTATGAGGAGCCCAGCCCATACCCTGGTTATGTGTGTGCCAGCTTGTGTGATGATTGGGTGAATATTTTAGGCCGCAGATGGTTCAGAAATTGGTGAAATTGCCGATCCTTTATAATGGCGTGACCTTTCAATCGACCCGTGTGACCCCAAATGACCTCGGATCGTCACCAAATTTTTATTTTTATTTATTTATTTTTTTTGTGGCATCGGGCACGGGGGCTTGACTCACGTACCAAATTTGGTACAAATTGATACAAATTTTTACAGTCAGTCCATAAATGATGGAATTATCGCAGGTAGACAGACACACAGACACAGGGTGAATACAAAACCTGGTCAACCCTTCGGGGACCAGGTAAAGATGTTTATGAAGTAAATCACAAACAAAACATACACTGTTACTGTCTTTTGCCTTTGCATGACTTCTTATTTTTGGCTCATGATACATAGGCAGAGAACAGGAACTGACAAATAAGCGTCAGAGGTAAATTTTAAGCTCAATATTTTGTTCAACTTAAAGTGTTTAAAATGCCTGACTTAACTATCCTCAAATTAATGTATAAAGCAAAGTGCAATGTATTACCTGTAAATGTTCAAAGACTGTTTGAGAAAAGAACAAGCCGCCACAGTTTAAAAGGAACCTACATGTTTAAAAAACCCAGATTCAGAACCAAGGTTATGGAGTGAAACGTTGCTGTGAATGGAGTTAATTTATGGAATAGTCTTGACAAAGATATAAAAGAATCAAGTACAATGACGACATTTAAAAAGCACATACAATCCAGTTCAATTTGTATGTATGAAAAAGAAAACTAAGTTGATGTGCATAATAGTGAAGATTTCTGTTTACAGTTGATGTGATTGATTGCGACTGAACTAAAATGTACTGATTTGTAGGGATGCAACAATAACCAAAATATTGTGATATTGTATCGTCAAAGTTCTCACAATACTATCGTGGACCATCACAATATATCGAATTACAACTCTCTTTGCTTAAATTAAGAGTTATAATGCAGCAGTAGCTAAAAAAGACAGAGGCAACTACATAGACCATGATCCTTTGTTCCATTTCAGTGTAGACTACATGAAAAAATAACAGTTCTAAGCACTTTTAAGTCTTCGTTCTTTGGATTAAATCTTGTCAAGGCATTTTAAGAGGAAAAAGAAGCATATTTATGTTATATATTTTTGTTAACCTCCACAAAATATCGCAATAAATATCGTACCATGAGATGGATATCGTGAAAATCGTACTGAGAGATTTGGATATTGTTACATCCCTAATCGTGAGCCTCCCCACCATATCGAGAGCTTTCCCATGATATCGCAATAAATATCGTACCGTGAGATTCATACCGTGATGATATCGTATCGTGAGACTTGGATATCTTTACACCCCTACTGATTTGAAATGTCTTAAAGTGACTATCGTTGTTGATGTATTGTCTGGAAAAGGGAAAAGGGGGCAGGTAACATAAGATGACTCTTCTTTCGGCTCCTTTTCATTCATTTCTTGTAGGTTTGATGTTGTGACACTGTTAATGTCTTTTTATACTTTATGAATGAAATAAATAACCAACTTTGGAGATGTAGACGGACTAAAAATAAAGGGTTGCTGTGCTTAAACATGTGTGAATGAAACAAAACTCAACTCAAGATATGTTTTTGAGAAGGAAACAACATAACATAAATCAGAAAATATGGGTTGTTGAAGCAATATATCGCTCTTCAAAGTGTCTTATGGTGACAGGCCTAACTAGTTTTTGTCCTCTCTTTTGCAGACTTGCTTGGAGCTGGAGCGCTACCTTCAGACCGAACCAAAGCGCCTTTCTGAACTTTTCGAGGAAGATCTGGACTGCCTCCTCACCCCGGCCTTCATGCACGGAGCTGACAGCGACGAAGAACTTCTAGATCCTCTTTTACCATCCCTCCAAGACCCTCCCAGCCCTCCTCCCGTGCTCAAAACCCTTCCCAAAATCCACACCAAAATCCTCCAGATCTCCAAACCGGACACCGAGACCGCGAAGGAACTCGTCGGCGTCAACGCGGCACAGCTCAGCGCCGCCGTAACTTCGCTAACTCCGCCCTCGTCGCCCGAACTGGGGAGGCATCTAATCAAACCGACGCAGACGCTGACGGCCACGGCGGACGGCACGCTAACGTTGAAGCTGGTGGCGAAAAAGGTGGGGTTGGTAGCGGCCAGAGCGTTGCCGTCGCAGTTGAATCAGAATGGAGGAGGAGGAGGAAGTTTGAGTGATAGTGAACAAGGAGGAGGCCTCGATATTCCTGAAAATAAAAAGAGGGTCCACAGATGTCAGTTCAACGGCTGCAGGAAAGTCTACACCAAAAGTTCACATCTCAAGGCGCATCAGAGGACACACACAGGTAAGGACATACTTTATACTGTAGTACGGTTTGTGTATTGATACTTTTTATCTGATGTCATCAACATTCTCTTGGGGTGTAATGTTAACTGTAGGCACTGCTCTGTTCGAGGCTTTGTTATAGAGTAGAGGTCTGCGCGGGACAGAATTTTCAGTCCCGCTCCCGCCCGCACCCGCACTGTGCAGTCCCGCTCCAGCAAAGAATTGCAATTTTCAGACCCGTTCCCGCCCGCTTCTGCGATATTTTGTCCCACTCCCGCCCGCAAATCCCGCTAGATGGGAACGTTCGCTTTCTTAAGATCTATCAAACACAGAGAAGCGGAAAGGAATTGTCTAAAACAGTGGTCCCCAACCTTTTTGGGGGTGGGGCGGACTGCGTATGGGAGGAGGCACAGTGGGGGATCTGGCGGCATGGTTAAAAGGATAGTTTGGGATTTTTGACATAAATCTGTATGGCCTCCCCGTGAGCAGTGTTTGTACATCAACACTGACTTACCCCCGACAGCGTCCGGTGAGCCGAGATACTGGCCGTTTTTGGTGCTGAAGAAAGTAGTCCGGCAAGTTGACTGGGGACAGTATAATAAAGCGTTTTACTTCTCTGCCTGTTCTAACTCCATCTGGTGAAATTCGGCATCAGTATATTTGGGTTCACAGAGATCTCCCCTTGTTTGTGGTAAAGGCAAAGTCTTCATTGTCGGGGTTGTAATCAGACATGTTGTCGTTAACATTCCGAGCAGTAGTGAACCAGGCGCAGTGATACGAACGGAAAGAAAATAATGCCAAGCGATAATGAGGTCTGACTTTTTAGGCGACGATGGTTTTGTGATGCAAATGTATCACTCTTTTGAACACAGATTGTTTTGAGAAGAAAAACGCTTTATTATACAGTCCCCAGCCAACTTGAAGGACTACTTTCATCAGCACCGAAACAGCCAGTATCTCGGCTCACAGGACACTGTCGGGGGTAAGTCAGTGTTGATGCACGACACTGCTCACGGGGAGGCCATACAGATTCATGTCAAAAATCCCGAACTATCCCTTTAAGTCCTGGCTAAATCTTGTTTTAGTCCTGTTTTAGTTCTGGTTTTAGAGATGTTTTTAGACCTGTTTTCGACCTGATTTAGTCCTGGTGTAGACCTGGTTTAGTTCAGGTTTAGTGGAGCAGCCCGCGCGGCGTACGGGAGGAGGGATGGTCCACGTGACATACGGGAGGGGAGACGGTCCGTGTGGTGTAGGGGAGGGGGGGATGGTCTGAGCGACGTACAGGAGGGGGGATGGTCCACGCGACATACGGAAGGGGGGGCGGTTCGTGTGGTGTAGGGGAGGGGCGACGGTCTGCGCGACATACGGGAGGGGGGAAGGTCCGTGTGGTGTAGGGGAGGGGGGACAGTCCGCGCGGCGTATGGGAATATCTTAATGCCTATCAGGCTCGGGTCGGGCTCGAACTGAAAAATTTGTCCCAGTCCACACTTTACTTCTGAGCTTTATTTTAACCCAGTCTGACCATATAAAACTGACTTGGTTGGAAATACAACAGGTGAGATGACGCGCTGTTACACAAATCTCTCACACATAATAGTTCTTTCTCCCTGTGATCATGGTTTATGATCAGAAAATAACATTATAACATGGCGCAATATGGGTCTTTTAATGATATAAGTTTGTGCTGAAAAGGAAAGATACTTATTAGTCTCTTGAGGCCAATTAAGCTCATTTAGTTTTTCCTCAGTTCTGCAATTAAAAGGTGCTTACTCCCAAATCACTCTTTCCCACCCGAGGCCTCTCTTTGTGCTCTAATTGCTTCGTTATAGTGTCTTTCTTTAGAGTTTTTTAATGAGTTTGCGCAAGTAAATGATCTTTGTTTACTCCACATATGAACAATACTGATATTAGGTTAAGAATTAGAATATTGTGTATGAAATAAATACTTTGAATAAATGGGTTTAGTGGAATTGATATAAATAATTCTACAGTCTCATATCATAATACTCAAAATTCACAATTCGATCTCAGTTTTCTCCATCGGCTCTGGCTCCAAAAAGTCTGTAATAAAATGCTCTACACGATCCTTTTCTCTGTTTTGTATTTAGCCATTTTGTCAATAAAGATATGAATATTAATAACAGACAAATCAGGTGCCTTCTGTCCCCGGGGTCGTTCCTGTTAACATTAATAACAGGTTTAATCTCTCTCCAGATTGGCTCTTTGGTTGCTACGATACTTGTGGTCGGAATTCCAAACATGAAACTCGTCGAGTCTTTAATTGAGGAATGGAAATCCTACTTGAAAAACCCAGAAAACAGACACAGGGCACAACTCAGCTTGAAGACTTTTAATACATTTTTTCAACTTCTTCAGCAGCAGCAGTAGTAGTAGTAGTAGTAGCAGTAGTAGCAGTAGTAATACTAATAGTAGTAGCAGTAGTTGTAGTAGTAGTAATAATAATAGTAATAGTAGTGGTAGCAGTAGTAGTAATAGTAGTAGTAGCAGTAGCAGTAGTAACAGTTGCAGCAGTAGTAGTAGTAGTAGTAGTAGTAGTAACAGCAGTAGAAGCAGTAGTAATAGTAATAGTAATAGTAGTAGCAGTAGTTGTAGTAGTAGTAGTAATAATAGTAATTGTAGTAGTAGTAGCAGTAGTAGTAGTAGTAGTAGTAGCAGTAGCAGTAGTAGCATTTGCAGTAGTAGTAGTAGTAGTAGTAGTAGTAGTAGTAGTAGCAGTAGCAGTAGTAGCAGTTGCAGTAGTAGTAGTAGTAGTAGTAGCAGTTGCAGTAGTAGTAGTAGTAGTAGTAGTAGTAGTAGGTTTAAAACCTTTAAAGTAAACAAATTTGTGGAATAATGAAATTAAATTTACATTTTACATTTACATTTGTATTTTAATCTATTTGTGTTTTAATATATTTGCATTTTTACACAATTTTAAATGACTAGATATAGGAAACAAATGTAATATTTTACTATTTTATATCTAATTTTAATGAAAAATAAATAATAAATAGATTTTAATTGCTAAATAATATACACTTCTTTAAATTAGTGCTCTTTTAACTTGGTTAGACAAATACATTTTACAACATTTACAATATACTAGAATATAGATTTAAATGATTCAGTTTCGTTTAACATTTTAAAAACTTACTTTTTTTATATTTTATTTATGAATTTACATAAAATTTTGACATTTCATAAAATAAATCAGTCAAATTAAACAGAATATTCACTTTACGTATAAATTAAGATAGATTATTTTGATACTATTGTCTCTTTATGGTCTTAACACCATTTTCAATATTTTAACTATACTTCAAAACTAATTTCACAGGTAGATTTCCTCACCGGTGTCTCTGTGTTTTCCCTTCACACTCCTGGGTTTGGTTGACCTGCCTGTGCACCTCGGCCTGAGTGCAGCACACACCACCGGATCACCTGTATTTTTGGCGCCATCTATTGGCCAGAGTAGGAGGAAAGGTGAATGGGGTTGGAGTGAAGGTGAAGACTAGAAGCAGAGCGCCTGGGCTTTTGGACTTGACATTCACTCCTCTAACGGCCAGCCTCTGTGAGCTTCATTTGACTGGACCCGAGCGCTATGGGCGACGTCACACTCCCTTAGTCTACTTTTTTATACAGTCTATGGTGAGTAAGTCACTAATGACACCGCAGCTGTCCTGGAGCAAATAGAAATAATATAGATGTGGCTGCCCTTAAATGCCTTGCCCAAAGATACAACGTCAGCGCTATTAGCAGGAACATCATGTACTGCTTTTTGCTTCTTATGTAGTAAAATCATTTCTTGTCATCAGGGCTGCAATCAATATTTTAGGGATCATTTTTTATGAGTCAACTAGTCTAACTATTACTTCTAATGTCACATACTCTTAGAGACATTAGAACCAAAGAAAGGTTGAAATGTAGAGGCTCTTGTAAAAAGCAGCACTTTGTGACAAAATCAAATGCCTGCTTCTGCTTTAAAGGTGCATTGTGTAACTTTTCTGGTGGAGTCTGTTAAATGTGGGTCTATCAAATGAGAGTGTCCGGGGTGAAGGAAGTCTGGGAGTTCCTGCTTAGACTGCTGCTTCCGCGACCCGGCCCCGGATAAGCGGAAGAAAATCGATAGACGGATGAACTGGTCCGTCAGATGCTTTTCTTCATGGATCTGCTTTTGCTTTGTCTGGAAAGTTTCACAATATGGCATTAAACTGATCTATCTTTATGGCGACCAACCCAGACCAAATACAGGTCAGATCTGTTTTTGTAGGTATTTTAGAGCAATAAAACCATGTGTAACTGAGAAACGTAACGATCTGTTTAATGTCACACTGTGGAACATTTTAAGCAGAGCAATGACATCTCCATGGAAACAAGAAGGTGACGGAGCCCCAACCGAAAAGTTACAGTGTGCACCGTCAAACAAATACTTGAAATTTTACTTGCAAACATTGAAGCAAAACGAAACAGCCAATCAGGTTTTGTGGATAATTACCCAAAAGTAGTCACTGGTAACCATGGTTTCGTTCATTGGTGCGATTTAAAATAGTTTTCCCCAATCCAAATCATATATTACCGTTATAACACAAAATGCTTTCACAAAATGTAAATTTCATACACATTTAACCTGCTCCATAACCCCGTGCATTTCATATCTTGCTTAACATCTTAATAACATCTCCGTACCGGCGCTGCTGTCTGAGTAATTAGCTCATGATGGATGGACTCGCAGTGAACGAACGAGCGATTTAACCGTGTGTGAGCGTGTGATGGGTTAGCATTAGCCGCTAACTCCGGCTGCCCGCGCACTGACCTCTTGAAACTGAATGAACCGCGCTAATGTGCCCAGCGGCTAAAGGCTAACGGCTAAAGGCTCGACTGGGAAACTGGGATGTTCCTGTACACAACATACACAAGACTGGTGCAGCTTGGGGATTTAAATGGATGTAGGTTACGCTGGGCTAACTGTATATGTCAAAATGGTTATGTAGGGAAAATAACATAAAGGTTATAAAGGTT